CCGAGCCAACAACCTCTAACTTTTGAGCTCCAGTGATTCTCTTGCCTCAGCTTCCCAAGTAGTTGGGACTACAGGCGCCCACCACAACGGCTGGCTATTTTTTTGTTGCAGTTGTGTGTTGATTTTAGCTGTCCCGGGCTGGGTTTGAACCCTGTAGCCTCAGTGTATGTGGCCAATGCCCTACCCACTGAGCTACGGGTGCCACCCCAGTCCATTTGCTTAGATCTTTGATTTTTTTCATCAGAATTTTATGGGTTTTGTCATTTAAATCTTGTACAGTTTTTTTTTTTTTGAGACAGAGTCTTATATTTACGGTAGAGCGCTGTGGTGTCCCAGCTCACAGCAACTTCAAATTCTTGGGCTTAAGTGATTCTATTGCCTCAGCCTCCCAAGTAGCTAAATCGTGTACATTTTTTGAGATGAGTCGTACCCTATGCCCCTGAGCAGAGTGCGGTGGCTTGGTAGCTCATTGCAACCTCAGACTCTGGCTTGTGAACATCCCGCTGCCTCCGCCTCCGGAATCCACTGGGATTACAGGTGCTTGCCAAGGCACCTGGCTGGGTTTTTCCATTTTTTTATGAGTCAGGGGTCTCACTTTCTCTCAGGCGAGTCTCGAACTCCTGAGCTCAAGTGATTCTCCCTCTTCAGCGTCCCACAGTGCTGGGATTACAGGCATGAACCACTGTGCCTGGTGTAAATTTTTTTGTTTTTTGGCAGTTTTTGGCCAGGGACAAGTTTGAACCCACCACCTCCAGCATATGGGGCCAGTGCCCCACTCCTTTGAGCCACAGGCACTATCCTCTTGTACATATTTTATTAGATTTGTAATTAAGTATAAAAGGTCCCTGACTTACAATTTTTTTTACTTTACAATAGTGTGAAAGCTATAGGCAACCACAAGCTTTTAGAATAGTGACTCTCGGCTCGGCCCCTGTGGCTCAAGCGGCTAAGGCACCAGCCACATACACCTAAGGTGGTTGGTTTGAATCCCCAGCCCGGGCCCGCCAAACAACAATGATGGCTGCAACCAAAAAATGGCCAGGCATTGTGGCGGGCTCCTGTAGTCCCAGCTGCTTGGGAGGCTGAGGTAGGAGACTCGCTTGAGCCCAGGAGTTGGAGGTTGCTGTGAGCGTGATGCCATGGCACTCTACCCAGGGGGATAGCTTGAGGCTCCGTCTCAAAAAAAAAAGAATAGTGACTCTCTGGGCTGTAGTTTTGACTGAGGTTATTTTCAATTTGTGATGGGTTTATTGGTATACAACCGCATCGTAAGTCAAGCAACATCTTTATTTCAGCTTTCTGATACTGATACAAATGATGTTTTTAATTTTAAATTCCAATTTATTGTTTTTCAAAATATGAAAATGGGAATCTGTGGGACCGGGTGCAATGGCTCATTCCTGTAATCCTAGCACTCTAGGAGGCCATGGAGGGTGGATTGCTTGAGCTCACAAGTTTAAGACCAGCCTGAGCAAGAGCAAGACCCCATCTCTAAAAATACCTAGACGTTGTAGCAGGTGCCTGTAGTCCCAGCTACATGGGAGGCTGAGGCAAGAGGATCACTTAAGCCCAGGAGTTTGAGGTTGCTGTGAGCTATGACATGATGGCACTCTATCAAGGGTGACAAAGTGAGACTGTCTCCCTCCTCCCCCCCAAAAAATAAGGAAAAAAAATTGGAATCTGTGTTAATTGAAATAAAGTGGATCGTTTATCTAATTGGGGATATATGAAAAAATAAAAAACAAAACAAAGTGGAGCTGTGTTAAGATGTGGAAAACTGATCAGCCCCCACCTTCCCCACCCTTGGTCCTGCAGTAAGACTGTGGCCTGTGTTGTTCAAGATCTTTCTCTTGCTCAGCAAACTTGTGGAACGTACAAGCTGTACAACTTTTGTGTATCAATAAAAAGCAAACAAAAGATGCAGGATCATGGTGCCCACAAATAGAGACTGTTGTTCATTTGAACTACAGTAGAATCACACCATGCCATGTTATTCTGCAGCTTCCTTTTTGCGTTGAACAATTTATTATGGGTGAGCCTGTAAATAGTCAAAGTGAACACAGATTTTTTTGTGTATGCAAACGCGCATGCACACATGGACACACACACAGATTATTCCACAGAAATAAGGCTGTATACGAGGTATGGATATTTTACTTAATAGTCTTATCTGTTTCCATGCTTATCTTCGAGTAATTGAATCAGTAACTGTGCTGAATGGGTGGTTGTGATGTGTAGGCTTTTCTTCCTGGTTAGATGCTAAATTCTTTGAGTGCAGAAATTATGCCATCAAATGAGCCTAGTACAGGGCTGAACACACAGGAAGCAGCTTATCCTATAATTTGGTTTGGGACCTCCGTTTCTTGGTCCATGAAGGGGTCATGGTAATAGCCCTGCTCCATAAGGTAATTGGAAAGATGAAGACTCATTGTGCTGTGTGTCCAGCGTGCCTGGTATGCGGTGGTGCTTAGAAAGGTGAATTCTTGTCACTTCATTTACTGTTCTGGGTAACTGGCAGGTAGGGGGGTTGCCCTGCTTTGGTAAAAAGGCAGAACTAGACTGGGGGTTCCCCTGGAGTGTGATGCCAGCCCTTGTACATCTGTATACATGGGGTGGGGAGACAGGCTGGCCCCAGGCGCCCCCTGCCCTAACTACACATTCTGTTTTCTGCTCTCTGCTTTTCCAGGACAAGCAACTGCGGATCTTTGACCCCAGAACAAAGCCCCAGGCCTCTCAGGTGAGTTTTGCTGGCAGCCAGGGTAGGTTGAATCCTGTGCTCAGGCTGTGGGCCTAGCAGTTCTGGCAGGTGCAGGTTGGGGCAGGCTCAGGGGTTCCCTGGGAGGTGAAGGTGGGCTGGTGCTGCTATAAGCTCTTTCTGGGAAGCTATCTGGCCCTGGCTCTGATTACAGGGTGGGGCACAGCCAGGCCACCCCAGGGATTTTCTAGCAGGTAACTTGAGATTCCCACTTCTTCCCTTCCTTTGAGACGTCTCCCCGACCCTTCCCTCTTCTCCCTCCCACTCCCATATGAGGTCAGGGGAGCTTAAAAAACAAACAAACAACAAAAAAAAAACACCTTACCCTCTGTACGCTGCTGTGTCCCTGCTGTCTGACAGCGGGTGGGCTCTGAGTGAGGCCCAGGACCTGAGCATTTTGGGTTTGTGTCTGTGAAAGGAGTGCATTGGGCCAGTTGAGTCCCCAGAAAGAAAGCTGGGGTCTGGGTATATGCCTCAGTCATGGGGACCCTGAGACCTCTAGGCAGGAGCTAGGTACTAGGCAGGGCCCAGGAGAATGGCTGGTGCCTTCTCTTGCTGGGCTGGTTCAATGCTTCCCTGAGCCATTGGCCTTGGAGCTGTGACCTTGGGTAACATCAAGGGTGCTGCGCAGGGTTGCCTGAGGTTGGCTGAGCTTATCCTAGGAACTTGTGGTAGAGGGCCTGTCACCTGGGCTGTGGGAAGAGTTTTAAGCAGGAAGTGAGATGAGCAGATTTACATTTCTAAAAAGAACTTTCTAAAAGTTGAGGAGGCTTCTTCCCTGAGGAAGGTGAAGCTCTGGAGAAGAGCTGCCCAGTAAAGGTCCAGGCCTACCACAGAGGCCCTCTCCCCATTTCTAAGAGCATTCCCCACTCAGTGTCAAAGGTGAACCACCAGCCTAAACCCCACTAGCCTGGGGGCCTCTGAACCCCCAACACATACACACAGAGTAATGCAGTCACATAGCACATCACTACATTTTGGCCATAATAATGAAGTCAGTTCCACTCTGTCCAACTGAAGATGGGAAGGAGGCCCTTTTGACAAGTGAAGTGAGCTGGGCAGAGGGTTGGACCGAGCTGGGCAGAGGGTTGGACCAAGCTGGCCATGCTTCCTTGGGAGGCTGGCTGACATTTTCTTTCCAGGGGACTTAGGGCTGGTGCCTGGTGGCTGTTTGAGTCTCAGGAGGGATTGGGAGCCATTTGCATGGCAGCATTTGCCCAGGCTTGACTTGAAGGAGAAGCAGAGGCCTGCCCTCCCCTTTCTCAGGCTGCCTTCCCCACAGAGCCCTAAAGCCCTACTGAGGACCCCCGTTTCCTTCCTCTTCTCCCTCCTCTGCTGCCTCATTCTGGCCGCCTTCCTCCTCTTCCTCCTCCTCTTTCAGAGTAGGGTGGGGGTGGCAACTGATGTTGAGGTGGAGATGGAGTGGCTGTGGTCCAAAGGGCTCCCAGTTCCTGGAAGAGAAAGAGAGAGGGTCTGGTTCTGGAGGGAGCCCTGGGGGAGGGCTGGGCTGCAAAGAGACCTGGGAAGGGCTTGGGCAGCTCCCACCCCTCTCCCAGATGCTAGGGTACTGGTTGCTCTCGCCTTGTGGGGGCAGAGGGCTGGGATGCCGCCCTCCACACTACCCTGCCCCCACTTCCGCCCAGGGCATCTGGCCCACACCTGGCTTCTATTAGGAAAACCACTGCTGGCGACCAGGGCCGGTGTGAGCTGAGGGGCCAGCTAGGGGGAGAGGCTTTCTGGGGGCGCCGTTTCAGGAACACCTCCTTCCTGCCTGTAGGGGTGTGGCTGAAGGCCCAAAGAGGGAGTGCAGTTTGCCCCCAACCTCTATCCCTCTGGGTCTCACCTCACCTGGGCCCACTGTTGTCCCCAGAGCCTGGAGGCCAAGCAATAAGGGCCAATCCTCCCTTTACTGTCTTCTTTGGGCCCTGCCTTGTAATCTGTTTTTTTTTTTTTTTTTTTTTGAGACAGAGCCTCAAGCTGTCCCCCTGGGTAGAGTGCCGTGGCATTACAGCTCACAGCAACGTCCAACTTCTGGGCTCAATCGAGTCTCCTGCCTCCGCCTCCCAAGTAGCTGGGACCACAGGCGTCTGCCACAACACCCGGCTATTTTTTTTTTTTTTTTTGGTTGCAGCCGTCATTGTTGTTTGGCGGGTCCGGGCTGGGGATTCGAACCCGCCACCTTAGGTGTACGTGGCTGGCGCCTTTGCCCCTGCCTTGTAATCTGAGCTTGGAGCAGGGCACCCGTAGTTCCCTTCATCCTACCCCTACTTTGGTTTTAGATTGCCGGTGTGATTATTTGTTCGTCCCTGGTACTTGGCATGTAGGACTTCCTTCTAGGTGAGGATGTGAGGGTCAAGAAGGAGGTTCCAGACCTGCTCCAGGGTCCCACCACAAACCATCAGCGTCAGGTTCCCATCTATCCGATCACATGGCCCCTAGCCCTGCTGCCGCCCCTTCCCAAGGGTGGGAGGGTCGGGGGAAGGTGGGAGAGGTGGGGAGAGGGGCTGGGTGAGGCCCTAAGCCCTGGAGCTATTGCTGCCCCAGGGAAATAGCCCCAAAGCCCAGGGGTTACTCTGCAAATGGCCCTGTGACATGGCAAGTGGGCTTGTGCCCAGCCCCAGGAAGCAGGAAGCGCTGGGGGAGACTCCCACCCAACATTGAGCCCCCAGGATGGGAGTGAGAGGGTGGCAGGGTTTTACCCTGGAACATGTCCTGACCCTAGGACTCAGTGCCCAGGCACAAGCACTCTGCCCTATTCAGGAAGCATCACCATGGCAACAGAGGGGGGCTTGGTTGCCCCAGCTGGAATGCTGGGTATGCGCCTCCCCTCCTGTGCCCCTCTGGCTGGCCCTGGCTGGCCACAGCCCTACCCCTTCTCTTCTCAGGTCCAGGTATGGTGGGACTTTAGTCAGGGGACTGGGGGGCAGTGAAGCCCTCTGGGGGCTTCTCTGTGAGCAGGATGCCCTGCTGCCTGCAGGGCTGGTAGGTCTGTGGTCTACTTTGCCTCTAAGAGGGAAACCCTAGGCCTGGGCCCCAGTACCTTCCCATAGGGCCTCCGGTGCCAGGGCTGAGCTCCAGGGCAGAAAGATGCCTAGTTCCCTGCCATAGCATCCTCACCTCTGGCCAGCTCAGGAGAATGAGAATGAGGGGCATCCTTGAGGCTTGCTTGAGGTCAGCAAACTTTTCATTTTTGATACTGAAAATCATTCTGGTGATGGAGGGGATAAAGAAAAGGAGAAGGTCGGCCACTGATCACCACCCCCAGCTGGGGGGCTTCCTGTAGTCCCTGGGCAAATTGAGTTGGCTGCACCCACAGCAGGGAGGGGGGAGAAGTAGCCTGAGCTCTTACCTGGTCTCTGGCTTCCTGATCCTTCTCCTCCTGGCCTCAGAGCTCAGGCTGGGCTGACTTCTTGGGACAGCAAGACTTGCCAGCCTTCTGTCATGCCCAGACACCTGGCTCTATCTACAGTATCAACTCATCTGGGTATGTTTGCTGGAAACCAGAAGGTGTCCAGAGGGCAGCTATTGTCTTGGGCTTCTCCTGGTCCTGTCTCTGCTGCCTCCTGGTTGCAACTTTGTGCAAATCTGTTACTGCTTTGAGTCTTAGGTCCTGCTTGTGCAGGTTGAAGAGATAGTGGTGGGCCCAGCTCACAGGAATTGTAAGGTTCAATGGCCCACAGCTGTGTTGCTGGGCCACTTTGGACCAATGGCTTCCTCTCTCTGGGCCTTGGATCTCTCTGTGTGTGAAACAGGAAGGTGGTAGATGGGCCAGGAGATCTTCCACTCCCAGGCTGTGCCCCCGGAAGAAAAATGCTCAGTGGCAGCCCAGGTGCCCCACAGCCCTGGTCTACCTCTGCCTCTGCCTCCCTAATGGCCACCTGCTGGTTGCCCTGGCCTCTCTGCTGCCAGTTCCTGAATATTCCCTTGCCTGGCTCCTACTTGCTGACTCTTATGGCTTAGCTTGAATGTCACCAGACACTGACTTCCCTCACTTATACACTTATTGTACCATTATCATCCCATGAAAATGCATGTTGGATGTGTGCCAAACACAATCCTGAGCATTTTGCAGGTGTTAACACTCCTTGCTGCAATCCTCAAAAGTAGGTCCTGTTATGGTGCTTTTCACAGACAAGCGAGATGAGGCACACACTTGAGGGTTCATTCTGGGACTGGCCATGGGTGGTTGGGCTGGGCTTTCACTTAGTCTGACTCCAAGGCTTACTACAGTAACCTCCACACATGGCTTGGCACCTGTGGCTCAAGTGGCTAAGGCGCCAGCCACATACACCTAAGGTGGCGGGTTCGAAACCAGCCCGGGCCCGCCAAACAACAATGACAGCTGCAACCAAAAATAGCCGAGCGTTCTGGTGGGCACCTGTAGTCCCAGCTACTTGGGAGGTTGAGGCAGGAGACTCGCTTGAGGCCAGGAGTTGGAGGTTGCTGTGAGCTCACAACACTCTACCCAGGGGGACAGCTTGAGGCACTGTCTCAAAAAAAATAAAATAAAATAACTTCCACACTGTTCCTTCATGGTGCTTATAGTAATGCATTATGTCATAGTTACTCCCATTTGGCCCACATCTGCCTCCCTGATGTGCATGGGCTTGGGAACCTTTTATGTTTTGTCCCCACGTCCCCAGTGCCTAGCATAGTGTTTGGCTTGAATGTATGAATTAGCAGAGACCAAATGAAGGAGCTGCAACGCTTCCCCCCCACTACCTGATTCTCAATCTGAGAACTGTTGGGCCCACTGCCAGCTCCTAGCACAGCTCCTGGCCCCATGGGAGGCCTTGCATGTTTGTTGAATGAATGAACGATCTATAGGCAAATTGGGAGCCATCTGATTTGCTGATTACAGAAGGATTATTTGCACACTAACAGGAGGATGAGAGCCTGAATAACACTTCTGACCTACTTCTGGAGTTGTTGGGGACAGGTCAGGCCTGTGGCCTGGCTCTTGTTGTATGACCCCTATAGCCCCTCTTACATGGAGAGAAGGGTATGGGGCCCTAGTTCTCAGGCTCCAACCTCGACTTCCTGTGCTGGCTGTGGCCTGGTGGGAAGGAGCAGTGAGAAAAGCCCCTTGAAGGACACAACATAGAGCTGTTTCCGATGGTCTCCCACGCTGGGGTCGGCTTGTGCAGGCTGGGGAGGGGGCCCTGGGCCAGCTCCTCCAGGGCTACTTCCCGCCCTTATTCATTCCCAAGGAGATCGTGGGAAGCTTGGAGGAAGCTGGCCACGGTTTGGGGTGAGCTATTTTTGGTAACAGGGTCCTCCATCTTAGGCTCCAGGGGCTGGGGTGGCTGGGAGGGAGCTGTGTACATTTCCTCCAGCCCCCTCAACTCCCCCCTGCCAGGGCCCAGGGGGTCAGGGCCCCGCCTACCATGTGAACTTCTCTCTCCTCCCTAGGGTTGGGAGTCTTCCTGCTGGCAGCTCCAGCACCACGGGAGGGCTGCTGGGCACTTCTCTGCCCTTGCTAGGATGTTCCCAAGCTTGGCCCCCAGCCCTGCTTCTTGCTCGGGAGGCAGTAGTAATCCTCACAATCCCTGGATTTGCACACCAGGCTTGTCTTTCCTCACAGTGACAGCCTTAGGAGTAAGTGGCACTGGCAATGTGAACTGTGTACACAAGTGAGAAAAACGAGGTTACGTGAGGGAGTGGGGACCCCCAGGGTCACTCAGCTTTTGAGTGTGAGGGCTAGGGTCAGAACTTAGGGATGGGGACGCTAAGCTGAGAACCTCCCCTGGGCACCTACAGAAGCAATGATGGGGAGGGGCGCGATGGTAAACAAAAAGGAGGGTACTGGTAGGCAGTAGAACTATCCATCTCAGGTCCACCCCAGAGGCCCTTGTCCCCTCAAGGGCCCTTGGTGACTTAGCTCCATGTCTTGTCTCCTGCAGAGCACATGGGCCCATGAGAACAGCAGGGATAGCCGGCTGGCATGGACGGACACCCAAGACCATCTTGTGTCCACTGGATTCAACCAGGTAGGGGACTCCTCTTGGATGAGCAAGGCACAGCCAGATGGGGACCTGAACAGCCCTTTGAATTCCTGCCCCAAGAGGCGGGGGTGAGGTCACTGGGAGGTGAGAGAGTGAGGGCCAGCTCTAGGCCTGTCCATATACGGCCTGGCCGCGCAGCTGAGTCTAAAAACCCCAGGGGACCAACGTCTGCTGAAAACTGACAGATTCCATTTGCAAGAGCTAAGCCTGACCCAGGGAGCCATGGGGGCCCGGTGGCTCCACAGGGACCAGGGTCCATGGAGGGAACCACTGCTTGTTCTTTGTCACTTAAGGTTTCTTAAAGGGGCAAGATATGAGAAGCTGGCCAGGTACAGTAGCTCACACCTGTAATTCTAGCACTCCGGGAGACCAAGGGGAACAGATCCCCTGAGTTTCATGAGTTTGAGACCAGCCTGAGCAAGAGCAAGATCCCATCTCTACTAAAAATAGAAAAGGTTGGCTCGGCGCCTATAGCTCAACCGGCTAAGGCGCCAGCCACGTACACCTAAGGTGGCGGGTTTGAATCCCCAGCCGGGACCCGCCAAACAACAATGACGGCTGCAACCAAAAAATAGCTGGGTGTTGTGGCGGGCGCCTGTGGTCCCAGCTACTTGGGAGGCGGAGGCAGGAGACTCGCTTGAGCCCAGAAGTTAGAGGTTGCTGTGAGTTGTAATGCCACGGCACTCTGCCCAGGGGGACAGCTTGAGGCTCTGTCTCAAAAAAAAAAAAAAAAAATAGAAAAAGTTAGCTGGGTGTGGTGGTGGGTGCCTGTAGTCCCAGCTATTCCAAAGGCTGAGGCAGGAGGATCACTTGAGCCAGGAGTTTGAAGTTGCTGCGAGCTATGATGACACCTCTGTCTCAGAATAAATAACTAAATAGTTTAGCAAGGATATGAAAACCCAAACTCTATCTCCCTGGTGTGACTGTTCCCCACTTCAAGCTCTCTATGGGCAGGTACCCCCTGCCAGGCTGTGCCCTCAGGTATTAAGTTTCCTAAGAGCTATGGGGTAGGCCAAGGGACAGGCCCCTCTCACCTTCTCTCTGGCCCTCCCCACAGATGCGTGAGCGTGAAGTGAAGCTCTGGGACACCCGGCTCTTCTCCAGCTCACTGGCCTCCCTCACCTTGGACACCTCACCCGGGTAGGAGCTACCGCTTGTTGAGTGGGCCATTGGGCTGAGGGCCCAGATAGTGTCCTGAGTTCAGGCTGATGGATGAGTGCTACTGGCTCAGTGAGGTGGGCTGACCACCTGAGTATTTTGGGTGGGCTGGGCTGGGCTGTAAAGGTCTCTGCGAAAGAAACCTGGCCCCGTGCTCCAGGAGCTCCCAGACCACCCCAGCAGCAGGTGGTAAGGTGCCTACCTGCCCTCTGGCAGAGAAGTGGGCCCTTGGTCATAGCAGGCTTCACAGATGGGTCAATGGAGATGGGTTTTGGCATTTGGGGAAAAGACATTGTCAGGCAGGGCAGGAGCACACTTGGTTTTGCTATGGATATCTTGGTGTGGCTGGGGCCCAAGCCTCTGGTAGGAAGGGGGATGCAGGTGGATGTAGGGTAGCATTGGGACAGACTGGCAGGCATGTGGGTTGAGGTGCGTCTTGAACTCTGCTGTGGTTTATGAGGCCCACTCAGCACCAGCCTCTTGGCTGTCCTTGGTCTGTCCTGGGGTCTATCTGCAGGTGGGGCTGGCCCCAGGCAGCTTGGGCAGTTTATGTACACTTGGTCCTTCCATCTGCCCCCAGAAGTGTGTGGAGAGAGTTTGCTGCAGTGCTTGATGGGGCCCCTGGCTGGGCCAGGCCAGGTTAGAAATTAGATGCCAAGAGGCCAACAGCAAGCATTTGAGTGACCATCTATTCATTCTGTGTGGCCACCCACATCACAGCTGAGGAAACAGGCTCAGGGAGGTTCAGCCTCAGCGTGGTTTGAGGGAGGAGGCAGGGACTTGGTCTCAGTCATGACTCAGGGAAGGGTCTGCTGGAACCTTCCCAGGTGGGGGCATCTGGGAGTGTTAGGTCCTTGGCTGGCTTATTTAACCCCTTCTTCCATTTCACAGCTGAGGAGACTGAGTTACAGAGAGGTAGCAACCTGTCCAAGCCCCAGGAGCAGCAAAGGCAGTGTGGGCAAGGAAGGCTGTGGGATCTCTCTGGAACCCACCAGAAGAGCCCCCTACCTGAGTGCCAGTCAGAGCTCCTGTCAGGGGCTCCCAGAGGAAGAGTAGTAGTTGCGGTGACAGTGATCCTCCCTCCCATCCTCTCACACCCAGGTAGGGCCGAGAAGCTGATTAGGTCCATTTCACAGATGAGGAAGACAAGGCTGAGCAAAACTCTGCACCTTCCTTAAGACCACATGGGGTGAGAGGGTGAGCATGCACACTCCCAGCATCTTGCCAGCTCTGGGACCTGGGGATTCAGAGAAGAGTCAGCAGAACCTGCCGTTGCCCACAAGGAATTGGAGCCTTTGGTTCAGCAGCCACCCCCCTGCCTCTGACCCCTGGCTGATGCTACCCTGGCATCTTATAATCCAGGCTTTTATCAGCCAGACAGCTCCTTCCCTACAGGGCCCAAGCAGCAGAGCAGCAGAGGTGTAGGCGGGAAGGTACCGGCACCAGCGACCAAGTGCTCTTCCACCCACCACTTCCTGCCTTCCAGGCTCCACCCCCAGTGATAGGATCCTCCCACCCCCAACACACACACATATATACACACACAAGCATCCCCTGCCCAGCCCCACTCTGGCCTCTGGGGGAATTAACTGATACCCAGACCCCCTGGTGCCACCAGCCAGGGCTGACCCCATAATTATAGTAGTTAAGAATAGCCTCAAAGGGCCAGCAAGGACTGGAATTTCTTAAATTACTCCCAGATGGGCAGCCAGGCCAATGTCCTCCAGCCCTGGCCCCTGCCCCGCCAGGCTGGCACCCATGGCAAGGAAGCCAGGACTCATCAGCCTCCATAAAGCTGGTGACACCAAGGGTATATGTCACGCTCTGGGCTGTTTTTTGCGGGGGAGGGCAGGAGACCCAAGAAGCTGGAATCCCCGCCCCCCACTGCCTGCCTGGGATGTTGGGGCTGCTAAGTGAGTTTGGACTGAAATGGAAAGTGTGCAATGTTGGCTGTGGGCATAGCCGAGGAGGAGGTTGGCAAATGTGTCCACTCATCTACCCTCTATTTCTTCCCTGTTTTACAGATTTTCCATTTTGGTTTGGGCAGCACAGTATGTGCTCTTATAAGAGCTACAGGGGGTCCGAATCAGGCATGTGCCCCATCCTGCCCTTGTCCTCTCCTAGGGGCCTCTGTTGCGGGTCCCACCTCTGTCCTGTCCTCTCACTTGAATGTTAAAAGGAGGCATGACAGGGCGGTGCCTGTGGCTTATGGAGTAGGGCGCCGGCTCCATATACCAGAGATGATGGGTTCAAATCTGGCCCCAGCCAAAAACTGCAAAAAAAAAAAAAAAGGCATGACAAAGTGGGGAGAGCAGGGGCCAGGCCAGCCTCAGGGTATTGGGTCCTACATGTGAAGCAGGGCTTAGGCAGATAGTCTACAGTATGCTACCCACACTCTACATGTTTGGCTCCCCGTGCTTGGTACAGGGTGGAGGTGGGGGGAGTAACCAGAGGGACAGCAGAGTTTGGTGCTGAAGGAACAACTTGTGTTCTGGTCCAAGAGGCTAAGACACACCTGTGTCAGGTGCCATGCTCATGGGTGTAAATGAGAGGGATGTGACGGTGCCAGTGAACTGTAACCACCGCCCCCCCCACCCCCAGGTAGCACCAGGGCTGATAGCTTCTGCAGCTCACAACAGCCTCAGGCCTTCCCATGTTGGTAGCAGGGTCATCCTGGGCCAGCAAGCAGACGTGGGGGTCCTATCCCCACTTGTTATGAGCAGGCTGCTATCTCATCTCTCTTAGGTTTACACCTCTTCTGTAAAGGGGGTTTGGGGGTATGAAATGAGAGTATGAGTTGCCTGAATGGCATGGGCCTGCTGTGGTCAGGACCTGGTGACTGGGGCTAGAACATTTCCTCATCTGGCCTATAGTCATGGGATTGTCCTGGGTGGGAGTGGGTGCTGCAATTTGGCCTAGTCTCTCTTTGGCCTAGGTTTTCTCTGCTTCCAGCCACTGTTCTGATGGGACACTCCAAATGCCTTTCCTGGGCCCTTTCTTTGGGTCTTGCAACCCACCCCCTACCCCAGCCGTTCCACTAGGCCAGATTTGCTTTGCAGTGAAAACATTTACTCAGCAGCCGCCGTGTCCAGCCGCAACCTACAAAGGCCCCTTTGAGGAGGCTGCTGAGGGGGAAAGGGCTTGCTGGGCCACTCCCCTAATGGGACCCAGGCCTACAGGAAATCCACCTGGGCTGCCACTGCCTTAGGAGGAAAGGGCCCCACCCAGGCCTACTGCCTTCACCCACCGCCCACCAGGACCCACCACCCTCCTCCTTCCTCTTTGTGCCAGAGCCCTGAACAGCCGCTAATTGAATCCAGAGCCTCGCGTGGCTGGGCCTGACTCGGCACTGACATCAACACCCCAAGCCGCAGGGCTGCTCCTTGGGCCTGGCTGGGCCGCCTCCTTCTCTCCAGGGCTGAGGCCAGAGGCTAGGGCCATGACTTATGGAAGGACATTGGCGTGGGGGCTCTGGGAGGCTAGCTCTAGCATTTGCCGGGCCTCCTCATAGCGTTCCAATCTACTCACTGTTGACCTCATCCTAGGCCTGCAAGCAGATGTGGGGGTCCTGTACCCACTTGCCATGAACAAGCTGCTGGCTCATGCCTCCCAGGCTGCTTCCGAGGGTAATAAGAAGAGGTGTTGTGTCACCCTCATGTTCCCATCTAAGCCTACAGCCTTCCTGGAAAACACTTCCATTTTTAGAGTTTCCAGAAAGCCTAGGTATATCCCTAGTGCAATGGGGCATCCTGAGGTCACCAAGCTTGGTACTGTCTGCAAGCCAGCCTCAACCCTCTGATCCTGTCCCTGTGCCTGCTCTATCAGCTCTGTCTTGGCTCCTCCCTGCCTGCCTACCAATTGAGGTTCTTGCCTTTGGTGATCTGTACTTCCTCTCCTGCCACCATGCTCTCTGTAGTGGGAACCACCCTGCAAGAGGGTTCTGGAGGCTATCTGGTCCTTGGACCATCTGTGGGGCCTGGAATGAGACAGCTCCAAGTACCCTCTCCATAGAAGAAGGCAAGCAATGACTTGCGCGTCAGACCCTCCTAAGGGTTGGGGGACCCTGTTGGCCTGGCATCTCCCACCAGCCTCTCCTAGCCTCACATTCAGGCATTGCAGCTCCTACCGGCAGAAGGCTAGGCCTCAGTTGGGCTGGGGTAGACATCATTTCAGTCAGGATACCTGGCAGGGCCACCCTTCTAGGTACAACCCTGGGCAGCAGCTCCAAAGCCAACAGGGTGGTGGGCAGGGGGCCCAGCCACCAGCCTGCCCACAGCAAGGCTGTCCCTCCAGCCATGTGCCCTGTGGCTGAGCCAGAGAAACACACTTATTTCATTTCATTTTTTATTTTTCTTACAAAAGGCCTTCATATCATCATTTGTCTTATAAAAACCAAAGTCCTTATCTCTGAGTTTGAAAAATACTTTCCCAAAATAAATGGGAAAGGATCTCTTATAAATATATTTTTTAAAAACAAAACAACCAAAGCAAAGCATCTTCCTTTCCAGTTTCTTCTGTTCCTTCGCTTCCTGGGGCTGAGGCTTGAGACACATGGCCCTGTCCTATACCCCGTCCCCCTCTGCTCTCTTTCTGGGGTCTTCCTTCACTGGCCCCAGAGTCTCCTTGGGCTGGGGGAACCCCGCAGGACCCTGGCCTGTGTTACCAGCACATGGCAGGGCCCTCCACACCTGCACTCAGGATGGCACATGGCGCAGAGATGGGCAGACACCATCCTCACAGGCATTCCTGGGTCACAGCATCTCACAGATGAGGAGACTGAGGTCCAGAGAGTTGCAGGGACTAGTTGCATTACTTAGTCTCACCCTGCACTTGTCCCTCTGTAGGGACTGAGAACTTCTTGTCATGGTAGCCGGAGGACGCTGGCCAGCTCCCTGGTGAGAGCCTGGCCCCCAGCTGCTTGTGTCTCCCTAGCTTAGACATAGGGCTTCGAGTGCATAGGCCCCTGGAGGCTGGGCCCTGGGTAGCCCATTAACGGCACCTCACACTCAGGCCCACTGGGCAGGGCCTCCCCACCGCCCTCAGGTGCCTTTGGGTCTGACTCCAAAGGGGCCTTCACCCCCTCCAACTCCAGGGGCCCAGCTCCTGGCCCCACCTTTCCTTTGTCCTGAGCTGCTGCCGCCACAGCCCGCCCTCGCCGGACACAGTAGGCTGCACCCGCAGCAGCCAGGGCAGCCAGGAGCACAGCGGCCAGGGCAGGTGCGATGAGGAGCGGGAGGTTACCCTCACGGGCCTGGGTAACTGGGGCGTGGTTGGAGCGGATGGCTGGAGGGGTGCGTGCCTCCCCGCAGGCCTCCTCACCCTCAGGTACTCGCCCAGGCCCCAGGGGCATGACACAGATGGAGTAGGTGGCATTGGGTCGCAGCTGGGTGACAGTGTACTCAGAGAGTGAGGCAGGCAGCCGCAGTGTCACCAGCCGCTTGTCAGGGCCTGACAGGTTCCGGTAGGTGAGGCGGAGGCTCCTGAGCTGCACGGTGCTACCCTGCAGGTAGCGCTGTAACCCCACACGCAAGGAGGTGGGGCTCACTGGCTCAATGCCAAGGGGTGGGGGCTGGGGTGGCCTTGGGGTGGCTGGTGTGGGGCTGGGCCACAGCCCTGGCTCCACCTGACTCTCACAGTATAGGCCCGTGAAGCCTTTGGGGCACAGGCACTCCAGGTGGTATTGCACCCCCAGGTGGCAGGTGCCCCCATTGAGGCACATGGATGGTGGGCAGTCCTGGGGCTTGGGGGCAGGCCCCACAGTTGGCAGAGCAGTGGTTGGTGGGCTCAGGGCCTCAGTGACTGGCTCTGTGGGGCTTAGCCATGTGGGAGCCAAGCTAGATGGCAAGAGGGTGGGCTCCCGTGCTGCAGGCCTTGTGGTGGGTGCTGTGGCCGTGGTGGTGGTGGCTGGGCAGCCAAAGTCAGCATAGTCAAGCTCCAGGAGGAGCCGGCCAGCATTCTTTGGCGGGAAGTGGCAACGTGTCTCCTCAGGGCTGGCCAGTGTGACATGGCTCTCACGCACCCAAGGGCCAAACCAGCTCAAAGGACACACGCAGTTGAAGGGATTGCGGGCAGCTGCCAGGAGCCGCAGGCGGGGAAAGAGACCTGAGAGGTCGCTTGGCAGGGCCTGCAGGTTCAAGTTGCTCAGGTCCAGCTCCTGCAGGGCGGCCAGGCCAGCCAGGTCCTCTGGCCGCAGTTGGGCAATGTGGGTGTTGCCAGCCAGCCTCAGGCGCGTCAGGCCCCTCAGTCCTCGAATCACTGGAGGCACCTGCTCCAGGTGGTTGTCAGCCACATCCAGATCATGGAGGTTGCGCAGGTGACTGAAGAGCTCCTCATCTAGCTGCTGCAGCCCCAGGCCAGCTAGCCGCAGTGCTTCCACATTGGGGGTATCCAGGACACCTGGCTCCAGGGCCAGGAGGCTATTGTGGCTAAGGTCCAGCAGCAGCAGGCGGGGCAGGCGCAGTGGGGGCAGCAGCTGCAGTTCATTGTCTTGCAATTTGAGCTCCAGGAGGCGGTCAAGTGCATCAAAGGCACCAGGCTGGATGTGGCGGATACAGTTCTTGCCCAGGTAGAGACGCTCAAGGCGCCGCAGGCCTCGGAAGGTCTCATTGGTGATCTCGCGCAGCCTGTTGGCAGTTAGATCCAGGTTGCTGAGGTTGGCAAGTGGCTGGAAGACCCCACCAGGCAGGCTGGTGATCTGGTTCTGTGACAGGTCCAGGAGCTGGAGGTTTGGCAGGCCGGCAAAGCTGTCTGCATCAAGTGTAGTAATGCCATTCTCAAAGACATACAGGCCCACTGTGTCAAGTGGCACATCTTGGGGCACTGTGGTTCCTTGGCGGGCAGTGCAGAAGACTGTCTGTGGCTGGCTGCACTGGCAACCAGAAGGGCAGCCCTGCACTCTGGGTCCAAAGGCTAGCAGCAGGAACAGCAGCAGGGGCACTGGTGGCCAGGGGATCCTGGAGGGCATCTTCTATCCCTGGGGGCAGAGAGAAGGCTGAGATTAGACTGTGCATCAAGGGCCCAGAGAGAATTTATCACATACACACATACACACACCCAGTGCAAAAGGGCCTACTAGGTACGAGTTAGGGCCCCAGGTCCTAGGTCCTGACCCAGTCCTGTCATTCCCTGGCTATGTGACTTTAACCATATGATGTCAGCTGTCACAAGTATTCAGTAGTACAATGCCCAGCTAGTGTGCTCTCCTCCAGAACCCCAGGCCCTCCTGCTTCTGCCTCAGTGGCAGGTCCCTCAGCTGCCCACTGGCACAATGGACAGGGAAAGGGAGAGAGAGCTATAAGTCCTGGAGTGGCAGCCCCTCCTTGCAGCATCTGAGAGAGACAGGGCAGCCAGGCGCGTAAGCAGAGAAGCTGGCTGCCCAGGCTGCTGGCCCCAGCTGCCATGCTCCACGGCTCTTCCTCTAAAGGAAGAGAGACCACAGCGGGAAGACTTCACATGGAAACTATGGGATCAGTGTTTTTCCACTTGTGAAGTTAGACCTGCCCAGGACGGGGGCTGTAGTCTCGCCAGGATATGGTCAGCCAGAAAGTTCATGATCAAGTGGGTAGAGGCCACTGCAGCCATTGGCGGGAGTATGGATTAGGGAGGCAGGGACCTTCTCTTCAGTTCCCCTGTCTCTTGAGACTGATGACTAGAGTTAAGAGGGCTCAGGTGGCAGGACACGGGTTGCACGGTTGCCCTAGAGGCAGTACGGGCCTGGGAAAGCTCTGCAGATTCAGTCATCTAGTATTTCTTGGGGTCTGCCCAGGCTGGGTGCCAAGACAGATGAGCAACAGCAGCACCACATCCCTCCTACATGCCAGTGCCCACTACATATTCAGTCACCTTCATACCCCCATCAGCCACTTCCAGAGGAAACTATTCTCATTGCTCCGGGGTGACAGGAGAAAGCGGGGTGTATGGAGGTGCCCATTGCAGCGCCAGTGAGTCTGAGCCAGAGCCCAGATCCTGCCACCTATGATGAGGCCTGTGGCGTTGAGATGCAGTAGAGGAGGGAAACCCTCTAGCCATTCTGGGCTCCGGCTCTCAGGGGTCACTGCCCAAGACTCAAGGGGGCCATAGCTTGCCACCATCACCATAATCCAGGAGCAGCCCTCAACTTTGGTGCTCCACGGAGTCTCTAAGCCTCAGGTGGGATGCTAGCCTGTTCCTGGGATGTGTCCTGCCCTGTGGCAGCCACCCCTCCCCCTCCAGGCATCTGTGGCTGGGCTTGCACAAGGGCCTTTTGTACTGGAGCCTGGCTTCTCCTTTCCTCCCCCACTTACCCATACTGGCCAACCCAGGTAACACGACCCCTCACCCAGCCTGCTTCTGCCCCACTGCCCCAGGCTTGAGGAGGGGCCCTGGAATGTGAGGAGGGGCAGTTGATCTAGGACACATTAGATAAGAAGTCCCTGGTGAGCTAGCCACTGAGGTCTGGGGCCAGCTCAAGGTAAAGGGAAGAGGCCTTGTCACCCAGGTACCTGACATGAACTAGAGGTGAGAGGGTCCTTGTAGGCCCTGCTCACCCGCAGCACCCCTCAGCCAGGGGAGGGTAATCTCCCCAGGAGCCTCTGATCCCAAACTTCCCCATTAATGATGAACACCCTTCAGAGGCTAGTTGGGAAGTTCTCCTTGATCCCAGTGGGGCCCCTCTGGTGTTGCACAGTCTTAGCTACCTAGGCAAGACTCTGTCTGCCTTTGCTCCAGGAGTCCCTAGAACCTACTTAGCTTGTCTCTGTTGAGTGAAAGGCAGACCCTCATGTAATCCCTCCTGGCCCTGCTGGCACCAACCCTGCACGGTCCGATGACCAAAGGTTCACCCTGCCTTCTCCCTTATAGGACCTGCTCCACCCTTACTGACTCAGAGGATAGGGGTGTGGCCTGGCTTCCAGATGTGGGCTGTGAGTGACCCCCACCCACTCTCCGTCCAAGTGGAGGGTGAGGGTACCTCCCCCTGAATCAGCCCTCCCAGTGGGGCCAGGATGGGGTCAGGAAGGGAGCAGCCAGGCTCCAGGGTGGGATTGGACCCTGCACGTGGTCAGCCTGGCCACCATTGTGGCCTCAGCTCCCCATGGGCCTTGTGGAAAGTCAGTTAAAAACTCTCATTCCAGGCAGGCAGCCTGGACTCAGAGGTATCCAAGCTGTGAGGCCACAGGCAGCTGCTTTACTCTCAGCACCTTGGTTTCTTCATCTGTGAATCTGGTACATTTCAGGGCTGCAGGGGGAGGATGCATGGGACATACTTGGCATTGATAGGCTGGGTGTTCAGGCTGGCCCACAGGAGCCTAGGGGTATGCTGACTACTCTACACTGAGGCAGAAGACAGCTATACACTCTAGGCTTCATCATCTGTTGGGCCTTTAATTAGCAAAGTCTTTAGAAGGGGTGAAGGAACCTATGGGCCACAAGCTGGCTGGCGAATGGGCCTCCAAATGGGTGGGGAGAGGGATGGGGGTTGTAGGCTGAGGAGACCCCCCAGCAGCTAGCAGTGAGCCTAACTTCCTACCCTTGAGATGCAGGCTGATTCCACCCCAACCAGCAAGGTGAGGAGGCAGGAGGCAGTGCTGGGGCTTAGGAAAACCCCCTGAGTTTGCAGCCACAGGCAGGCACCTTGGGGGCTTTGCCATGGGGCTCCTGGCACCAAGAGATCAGATAGCCCCGGGGAGGAACCCAGAGAGGGCAGAGGCGACAGGCAGCCAAGGTGGCAGGAGACAGAGGCACCTACATAGACTCCCAAGTCCTTTCTCAACCGAGCCTTAGTTTTTCACCTGCAAAATTGGCATAAAGAAACCTAAACCTCTCCCCCTCTGCAATTGTAGTGTTTTGTTGTTCTGGATTTTTTTTTTCCTCATAAAACAATGTTTTATTTTCTTTAAATACTTTTAAGACAGGGTCCAGGATGGACTCCTGGGCTCTGGCAGCCCCCAGTAATGCCTGTCTGTGCAGAAGGCTTATATGGACAGGCGGGCGGGGAGGAGGGCTGGCAGGTAACAGCGGAGGAAACCCAGGCCAGACCTGAGGAAAGCTCAGGAGGTCGGAATAGCAGGCTCTTTGGGGGAAGGACTGATGAGTGCATCCTTCTAAGTGGAAACAAGTTGCTCTTATGTCTCAACCAGTGGGTTTTTTTTTTTTTTTTGAGACAAAGTCTCACTCTGTCACCCTGGGTAGAGTGCCATGGCATCATAGCTCAACCTCTAACTCCTGGATTCGAGCCATGCTCTTGCCTCAGCCTCCCAAGTAGCTGGGACTAGAGGCACCCACCACCACTCCCAGCTATTTTTAGAGATGGGGTCTCACAGTAGCTCAGGCTGGTCTTTTTTTTTTTGAGACGGAGCCTCAAGCTATCCCCCTGGGTAGAGTGCCATGGCATCACGCTCACAGCAACCTCCAACTCCTGGGCTCAAGCGAGTCTCCTGCCTCCACCTTCCCAAGTAGCTGGGACCACAGGCGCCCGCCACAACACCCGGCTATTTTTTGGTTGCAGCCGTCATTGTTGTTTGGCGGGTCCGGGCTGAGGATTCGAACCCGCCACCTCAGGTGTATGTGGCTGGCGCCTTAGCCAGTTGAGCCACAGGCGCCAAGCCAGGCTGGTCTTGAACTACTAAGCTTAAGTGATCTACCTGCCTTGGCCTCCCAGAGTGCTAGATTATAGGTGCGAGCTATCTCACCCAGCCCCATTGTGTTTGTTTGTAAATGAGGAAGTTCCTTTAAGAGGTCCTGGGAAGCGGCTCAGCACCAGCCACATACACCTAAGGTGGCGGTTGTTGGTGGCCCAGGAGTTGAAGGTTGCTGTGAGCAGTGAAGCCATAGCACTCTACCCAGGGGAACAGCTTGAGGCTCTGTCTCAAAAAAAAAAAAAAAAAGTCCTGGGAAGCATCCAGAGACTAGGCACACTTGGTGTGTGCACAGAGTGGAGGGGGGGTCTCATCTGGTGTCATTGCTGGGGTTGCTGTGCCCTGTGCTGCCTAAGATCACAGTGGCTCTGGCAGGACCAGGGGCCTAGCTTTGGTAATCTATTTGATCCATTGAGCCAGGATGTAGGGAGAGTTCTGGAGGCAGCCCTGTGCTTCAGGGATGCTAGGGGCAAGAGGGCAAGAGCTAGGGTGCAGGGTCTCCATCTCAGCCCACAGTGTGGTGGAGAGGCAGGTCACAGGTGCTATGGCCAAGACTTTCTATCTCCAAGGCAGTAGCTGGCATGGGGTGTCAGGGTCCGACCACTAGGGCTTACAGCCTCCCGGCTACCCCCGCTGGTTCGCATCTGTGTAGTGGGGGCTAATTATCACGGCTGTTTCTCAGGAGGGATTTGGTTTGTACTTGGAGCACATGCTAAGTGGTCAGTAAACAGTAGCTGCTGCAGTGTCACCAGTAAAACCAGAGCTCCAACATGCTCACAGGTGAGGGTACCACAGTGGTAGAGGCTTTGGACCAGGCTTACATGGACAGGGTCAAGGCCTCTGAACTGAGGCTGTCCTTCACCCTCAGGTGGTGGAGACGTCAGGGGTGAGTTATCTCTTGGCAAGGCCCCTTCAGCATGTGACCTTAGGGAGGAGCCCTATGAGTAAGGAAGACGAAGAGCATTTGTCATGTCAACTCTCAGGAGGACCCACCCACTCCTGAGTATGCGACACACTTGTGGGCGCTCACACACATGTGCAGGGTCAGACAGAGATAGGGCAGGGGGTGGCATCGCAGGTTGGTACCCAGATGTCCACACCAGCCCTGGGCCGGTGCCTCTCACTGCTCCTGGGGAAAGCTGTGTGCCCAGCGGGAGGGTGATGTTCTTAGACACCCAGCCAGAGGCCCGTATAGCCCTCCTGTGCAGACCTGGGTAGACCTGAGTTCTGGGCCTGGTTCCCAGGGCTGGCCCGCCTGGGCTCCGTGTTCTCCATGCAGCCGGCCAGGCCTGGCAGTGGCCCAGGCCCGGGAGTCTGCCAACCCCCTCCAGGCAGGCGGGACTGTGCCGGCGGCCAGGACGGCTGGCTCCAGTTTCGCTGACGTGTCCGAGAAGGCTCAGGGCCCAGGCTGGGTCCACCCCATCTTCCCTTCCCTGGGACATAGCAGTTCCTGGTCCAGAAGGGCAGAGAGGTCAGGGGTCTTTGTTCAGGGCCTCACAGGCAGAGAGGGCTGGGCCTCAAGTTCCTTGGAGGTTGCTCTGGGTAGGCCCTCTCTCCAGGTAAGGGGCCTGTGGCTCTGGCTAGTGATTAAGCTGGGGGTCCCTACTGGTTTCAGCTTTTTGGTCTTGCTTCATCCCCCATTCCAAGCTGGCTGTGTTTATAGATAATGCCCCAGCCAAGAGTCAGTCTGACACACACTCTGCAGCCTCACCCACTCACCCAAGCTCCCTCCCTTCTCGGGCTTCCATTTCCCACCTGTGACCCTATGGGTTTCTCAACCAAAGTGCTACACCAGAATCACCCAGGAAACATTACCGATAATAAGAATTTGGGTAGGGGGTGAGGCCCAGGCAGGACTGTATTTTGAAAAAGGCTCCCTAGGTGAATACTCTCCTCTGCTCAGCCAGGGAGGATTGCAAAGGGGGACAGTTAGGATGTCAGCTCATCTCCCCAACTGGCAGGGCTGGGAAAAGAGCAAGAGCTGGGCCTTCCTCCTCCTCATCTCTCCACCCAGGTGGGTTTCTTCAGTGGCACTGTGGGTGACCTGGCAGCTGCCAGACCTGTCAGCCCAGGGCAAGGAGACCAGTGACTAAGGCCAGTTCCACAGCTCAAGTGAGCCCTCAGGGCAGCAGGACGTGCCATTTCAGTCAAGAGAGGTGCCACCTGTTGGGGAAGGACACCTGTGGCCCTGGAAGCTATGTGGTGGCTGTGGTCCAACTAGAAAGAGGCCAGTTTAGATGCCACTGTTGGCAAGTGGCAAGTGTGATGCCATCAGAGCTTGGCCCTGTCCCCACCCTGTGCCAAGCACCTATCTAGTAAGTCGCTAGCCCTGCAATTAACCCTGAACTACCAGAAGAACACCTTAGTCACAAAGGGAGGCTGCCAGTCTCAAGGCCCCTGGGCCCAGGGGACTGAGAAGGGAGTGGCCCCAGCCACCCAGGGTTCTTGGCCCTTCCTGGGGTATGTGATCAACAGGCAGGTGGGATTAATCTGGGGAGGCACAGCAGATCCCTGGTCACTGAGCCACAACCCTGTCCCACACTGCCCAGCTGGGGTCAGGGCCCAAGGCCAGTAGGGCCCCAATGGCTGCCCCAGCTCCTTCCCAGTGCACACTAGCTCCCTTCTTAATTAAATCTCTCAGGCAGCCTCTGAGGAATGTTAGAGCCTTATTGCATTCCCCAGGAGTCTGGTGGGGGCCGTCCCCAACCTTGGAGAAGAGCTGGCCCCTCGCCTACCCCCAGCCCCCAAACCAAGGTGGCCAGAGGCAGCCTCCTCCAGTCAGGGGGTGGAGGGGGGGCTGGAATGAGGAAAAGTAGGGAGGCTGCGGCCAGGAGCTGAGGGAAAGCAATCTGGCTGCCTCTGGAATGTGGAAACCGATAAAAGGGAAGGAGGCTGCGGCCCGGCCCCTCCCCCTGCACACAGGCTCCCCAGACACCCCTGCCTGCCCCCAAAGACACAGCCCTGCTCCAGTCACGCGCACACAGACACACCCACACCAGATTCACCCACTGGGCCACACTCCTGCCGGCACATACACGCCCTCCCCCCTCTCCAAGAACTCACGCAAATTCCACAGCAGTGAGGGGAGCTGGTTTTCTTGGCAGCACAGAGCCTTGGGCTCCCTGGCTCAGGGAGGGACTCTAAGGAGACTGAGGAGGGCTCCAGGAAGGAGACCCCTCCAGGAGGGGGTCACTAACCCAGTTTGGTGGCCTTACTGCTCTTCCCATGAGCACAGGGCCTTCCAGCAATCAGGGATGAGCAGAGAGGAGGGCTACCTCTTTGGCTGAGGTAGGGGCTGCCCATCCCAGGGGTGGGATCCATTTATTAGCCCCCACAAAGACTTAGTTTACTTGGGACTTGTCCTAACTCCTCCAGGGCTATCATAGGGGTGTCAGTAATGGGAAAAAGGAGCTATGAACCCAAGCACCCTGGGGAGAGCACAGGTTAGGACAGTTGAGGGGCTCCTTGTGTCAAAACTCCTTCCCCCATTTACAGAGTACAGAAAGAGCAGTGTTATCTGGGCAAATCCCCTGGGACACCATTTCCCCACCCCACCCCCATCTGACTTTCTGACCCACAGGTCTCAGGGTGGCTATTCTAATGTACAGCAGCAGCAGGCTGGGGGAGGTGGGGACAGGCAGTGCCCAGGCCCCTAGGCTGGCACGTGTGTGCTCATCCTCCCTCTGAGGACCCAGGAGAGGCGAGATAATGGTCTGGAGGGAATCCAGCTGTGCTGTTCATTGCCAGAGGCTTCTTCCTGCCTCTGACACTCTGTTTACAGAAGCTCTGGGGCTGACTCCCCTGGGAGAAGACAGCAAACTCAGGGGACTGCTCCCTATCTGCCCACCGTCTGTCCCAGTTCTTCTGGGGTTTGCTGTTAGCCAGGCCCATACTAGACTTAACTGCCCACTGGGCTGGCTCTAATGGACACTGCTCAGGGGGCAGCAGCCTGACCATCCCTCTATGCCCCCAACACTAGAAGTCCAGCCTACTGAAAACAGACCTTTAAGATTTTTTCCAGTACCCAGGCCTGGAAGCTGTCTCTGACCTGGGTGGGGGCCTCTAGGTTCTGGCGCTTCTCTCCAGAGCCTTACTTGCCTTTGGTGCAAAGACAAGCAGGGGTACACCTAGATCCTCAGGGCGTCTTCTTCCACCCTCCATGCTTTGGACTCCACCCCTGGGCCACAGTAGGAAAGGCGGTCAGCGACCCTGGTGTGGTAATCGTTAACGAACGGGGGTGAGGCAGAATGGTTGGCACCAATCATCTGGCCTGCCAGTGACCACAGGAGACCTCAGCAGTCCTAAGGCTCCAGCACTGCCAGCCCAGGGACACAAAGGACTAGGCTGGCTCTAGGCCATTAGGTTTGCAGGCCAAGCAAAGCCCCTTCCCTGGCAGAGGCAGAGATGGGGTGCCCTGATACCTGGAACACTAAATGCCCTGCTCAGCCAAGGTGTGACCCCCACTTGGAGGGGTGGGACATCAGATACCTACAGCCATCCCCCAACCCCTCCCCAGGTCTGCATATCTGTGGCCCCCTGCTTTGTTGAGTGACAAGGGTCTGAGTACCGCAGGCAGCCCTTCTGGACAGGGACACTAGGCTGTCCAACCCCACGAAAAGTAACCCAAGACCACAGCTTGGCTATCCCCTGAAAGAGGTTTGATTCATAAAACTGGTCATGCCGGGAGGGCCCAGGCTAGGAGGCGGAAGCAAAGTGTGGGGGGGTGTTTATTTTGTCTGCTCAAGCCTCACCGGCTCACTGTACACACCAGCGCAGCCGGCTACAGGGCTGCTGGCTCCCCAGAACAGCCGGGGGAGGAGTGAACTGGGCCTGCAGACCGTGAGTCCCAGTGGGCCCAGGTGATCGTGTCACGGTCCTGCCGGCGAATGCGTGAGCGCGCGACAGGGTTCCGCGCGTGGATGGCGCGCGTGTGCACAGCCTGGCCATGGTGCCCTATCCCTGCCCGCAGCCCCCCCAGTACCGCAGAGACTCACCGGGATGCCGCGGTGAAGGGATGGGAGCAGGGCGGGTAACGGCCTCAGTTCTTACCGGGCGGCCGGGCCCGAGGGGGTCGTGGGTCCTGGGTCCCAAGGCAGCCTCGTCCGTGTCTCCCCCCGGGCTCGGGCTCCTGAGTCGGCTCACAGGAGGTGGGTAGTAGCGCTTTTAATGCTGAGGGGGCGGGGCCACCGCCGATGGGGGCGGGGTCCCTCCCCATTGGTCGAGGTGGAGACGTGTGGAGACCCAGCCCCTTCTGAGCGAGGGGCTCCTGGCCAGGCAGCCAGAACCTCACCCTGCTGACCCCCGATCTGGGCAGGAGGGAGGGACCCTGTGCGACCTACTTGGGAGTCCCGGGATCCAGTCTTCCCGCACTAGTTTCCTGTGTAACACCGGGCATGGTTCTGCTTTTTTGTGTAAAAGGCAAGCGACAGTTGTGCAGAACTAGGCAGGTGACTTAAATGCAAGAAACAGCCCCCAGAGTCCATGGAGACCTAGAAAGGGGGTGGGGTGCGGGGAGTGGGGAAGGTGAGAAGACTCAGCCCTCATGACCAGCCCCAGCCTGCCAGAGCTGCAGATTTTTCAAGAGAAGCTGGAAATCAGTTTTAGGTGAAATCCCTCAGTGTGTTATTGTTGGTGGCTAATCCCAATTTCAGAAAACTCATGAGCAGCCCACACAAAGCCTTCTCAAGAGCTTGCTAAGTACAAACTGTAATGCCAAATCTCTTTGGGCCCCTTTTAGCCATGACAGCCTTCAGGGTTGAGAGCATCACTGGAGCCCCTCACCCCACATTTTAGGTGAAAGGACTGAGATAGGAAGAGCATTGAGGGTCTGCCTCAGCCCCATAGTTACTGGCAACTTGGAGCCCAGAATGGAAGGGAGGTAACCATCAGTGGGTGGGGCCTGGGCTGCAGTTGACAGTGGCCCTTGATTGGGCAGCCAGGCGGGTGCCAGTGGCTGGATTAGTCCAGAAAAATCCCCTGCCTTGAAGGATTCCAGGAAAATGTTCTTCCTCCCTCCCCCTCCGTGTTTGTGGTCAGAGTCATGCCTCAGCCTTTGGGGACCCAGCTCAGCTCCTGACTTCCGGAGAGCCCTCAGACACCAGCACCCCCTCCAATCCGGCATGCAGCCAAAGCCTTTGGCTGCGCCAGCTCTGGTCTTTAGGGGCCCTGAAGGCTTGTCCCTGGAGGTTGGGCCACACCAGCTGGAAGGTTGTGTAGTCTTTGGAGGACTCAGTTGCCTTCAAAAGGCAGGATGGCCTCTGTGTCTAGCCGTTGTCAGGGGCTAAGTACAGTCTATCTTCAACACCCCCCTTATAAATGTCCCTTCCTGGGCCCTTCTCCCTACGGGGTTTCTTTCTAGGACAGGCAAAGTCCACACCTCACACACTTCCTAGTATACACATATGTAGAGCATGGCTTTTGAACCTCTGCTTCTAGATCAGAGCTGGCTCTACAGGACTTTTAGTGTAGCCTATATGATGAAGAGTTCTTTTGGGTTTTTGTTTGGTTGGGGTTTATTTTTGTTTTTATTTTTGAAACAGAGTCTTATTATGTCACCCTCAGTAGAGTGCTGTGGTGTCACAGCTCATAGCAACTCTTGGGCTTAAGCGATTCTCTTGCCTCAGCCTCCAGAGTAGCTGAGACTACAGGCATCCACCACAACGCTCGGCTATGTTTGTTTGTTTGTTTGTTTTTTGTAGAGACAGAGTCTCAGTTTATCGCCCTCTGTAGAGTGCCGTGGAGTCACACAGCTCACAGCAACCTCCAACTCCTGGGTTTAGGCAATTCTTTTGCCTCAGCCTCCTGAGTAGCTGGGACTACAGGCACCTGCTGCAACACCTGGCTATTTTTTGTTGCAGTTTGGCTGGGGCTGGGTTTGAACCTGCCACCCCAGTACATGGGGCCGGCGCCCTACCCACTGAGCCCCAGGCACCGCCCTGTTTGTTTTTTGAGACTATAGTGCCATGGCATCAACCTAGCTCACTGCAACCTCAAACTCCTGGGCTCAAGAGGTCCTCTTTCCTCAGTCTCACAAGTAGCTGGGACAACAGGCTCCCACCACAGTGCTCAACTAGTTTTTCTATTTTTAGTAGAGACAGGGTCTCACTCTTGCTCACACTGGTCTCAAGCTCCTAAGCTTAAGGAATCCACCCACCTTGGCCTCCCAGAGTGTTAGTATTACAAGCATAAGCCACTGTGTCTGGCCAGGTTTTTTTGTTTGTTAAAGAGATGTTTCATTTTGTCAGTCAGGCCAGAGTACAATGGCTCAATCATAACTCACTGCAGCCTTGAACTCTTGGGCTCAAGTGAAACAATCCTGCCCCAGCCTCCAAAGTAACTAGGACTTTAGGTGTGTGCCTGGTTATTTTATGTATGTATGTATTTATTTATTTATTTTTGAGATAGAGTTTCACTTTGTTGCCTCCAGTAGAGAGCTGTGGTGTCATAGCTCACTGCAACCTCAAACTCTTGGGCTCAAGTGATTCTCTTGCCTTAGCCTCCTGAGACTACAGGTGCCCACTACAATGCTTGGCAATTTTTATTTTTATTTTTTTTTTTTTGAGACGAGTCTCAGGCTGTTGCCCTGGGTAGAGTGCCGTGGTGTGATAGCTCACAGCAACCTCCAACTCTTGGGCTCAAGCGATTCTCCTGCCTCTACCTCCCAAGTAGCTGGGACTACAGGCGCCTGCCACAACGCCGGCTACTTGTTGGTTGTAGTTGTCATTGTTGTTTGGGAGGCCTGGGCTGGATTCTAACCTGCCCGCTCAGGTGTATGTGGCTGGCGCCTTAGCTGCTTGAGCTACAGGTGCTGAACCTCAAGCAGTCCTCTTGCCTCAGCCTCCTGAGTAGCTGGGACTACAGGCACCTGCCACATGCCCAGCTATTTTTAGAGACACGTTCTAGCTTAGGCGGCTTTTAAACTCCTGAGTTCAAGCAATCCACCCACTTCAGCCTCCCAAAGTGCTAGGATAACAGGCGTGAGCCACCATGCTCAGTCCTAAAAAAATTTTTTTAGAAACTGGATCTCACTTATGTTGCCCAGGCTGATGTCAAACTCCTGTCCTCAAGTCATCCTCCAGCCTTGGACTCCCTAAGTGCTGGGAGTCTTTAAAACTTTGAAGGCATTGCTAACATTACAACATTAGGTGATTTCACTTTTAAATGGAGCCTCCGGCTCAGTGCCTATGGCTCAAGAGGCTAAGGCGCCAGCCACATACACCTGAGCTGGTGGGTTCGAATCCAGCCCAGGCCCACCAAACAACAATGACGGCTGCAACGAAAAAATAGCCGGGTATTGTGCTGGGCACCTGTAGTCCCAGCTGGGTGGGAGGCAGAGGCAAAAGAATTGCTTGAGCCCAGGAGTTGGAGGTTGCTGTGAGCTGTGATGCCACAGCACTCTACCCAGTGTGACAGCTTGAGGCTCTGTCTCAAATTAAAAAAAATAATAATAATAAATGGGGCTTCCCAGCTTGCCTTGAACAGGAACTTTCATCTGGGGCTGAGTGACAGCTACCTCCTCTGGCCAAGGCTTAGGCTCACAGGTCACCCAAGTCCCCGCCTCTCCCTCTTGTCCCACGCCAGGCTCTTCACTAACTCCAGTTTCCTGCCTGGCTCCAGAAGCATCTGAGTTTGCCATCAGTGTCAAATGGCTGTTTGTCAAGCTTTTCCTATGCCTCTTCCCTTGGGCCATGTGTCCTCCGAGGCCCTCAGAAGTGTCCACAGATGCCCGGGGCCTGGGAGGGGCTTCCAGAGCCTCCAGCTTAACTTTGTCCAAGGAACAGGACTTCCTGATGTGAGAGCTCTTGCTTCTCACTTCTGTGGCCAGTTCTTGCAGGTGGAGAGACCCCCCCCACCTCCCTAATGTGTTCACCCTTCCTTGATCCCATGCTTTGTGTTTACATAGGTGCTGTTCACCCAGAGGCTCAAGGGCAGAGGACCTAGGACCCCAGTCTGCCCAATCTTTCCATCACTCCCTTAGAATTTGGTTACTAGCAATCTCTGTGGAGGAAGGGAACTAAGGAGTGTGGGTGAGGTCCAAGGGCCCAACTGCCCAGCCTACGTGACAGGAACAGATCCAAGACACCTGGACTATGCTTTGGACTGTGGGCAATGACAGGCTGTCTGGGTTGGTGAGAAGGGACCCTAACGGGAGAGAAAGGTGCTAGAGGGGAAAGTGGGAAGAGTCTGGCGGCTTCTGTGTGAAGCCAGCACACTCTTGGTGCTATCATTGCATGCTCATTGCAACAGTGCTGGGGTAGTAGGCAGGGATGTTCAGGGGGCTGGAAGTCCCCTCATGCCACCCAGTGAGTGCCACAGTTGTCCTCTCCTTTCAGGGGCAGTCTTCAGTCTGGGCAGGGGCCCAAGCTATGGCAAGAGAGGTGCTGGCACCATCTGATACCGCCACTGGCCCTTTGCCAGTCTGGGCTCATGTCCAATGTTCTGGACCCAGACCCAGTTCGGCGCGCGCGCGCGCTCTCTCTCTCTCTCTCTCTCTTTTTTTTTTGTAGAGACAGAGTCTCACTTTATTGCCCTCAGTAGAGTGTCATGGCATCACACAGCTCACAGTAACCTCCAGCTTCTGGGCTTAGGCGATTTTCTTGCCTCAGCCTCCAGAGTAGCTAGGACTACAGGCACCCACCACAACGCCCAGCTATTTTTTTGTTGCAGTTTGGCCGGGGCTGGGTTTGAACCCACCACCCTTGGTATATGGGGCTGGCGCCCTACCCACTGAGTCACAGGTGCCACCCCAGTTCAGCTCTCTTAAAGAGGCCTGTGCCAGCTGTTGACCAACCCTTGGGACTTGGTGCCATGACCCCTTTCCCTGGCCTGTGCTATGGCAGGCAGGATGCTCCTGCCTGGAGGAGCTGCCCAGATGGCTCTGCTTGAGGCGAGGAAGACTGGCCTGACCTGTCAGAGGAGCCAGCCCTGCCCTCCCTGACTTCCTGCCCTCACCCCAGTACCTGAGTCAGTGGGCCAGCTGGTGGCCAGTGGAGCTGGATGAGGGAGGCTGGCCACCATCGGTGCTTGTTCCACAGTCCCCACCAGGGCAGCAGAGGGCTCCTCCCTGTGCAGCCCTCTTGCTCTCAACCTCTGCCTGGAGCCACACCTGCTCCCTCTCCTTTCACCCTGTCCCCATGTAGCAGCCAGTATGATCTCTACTTGGTACCAATCTGGTTCCTATCCCCCTTTGCCTAAAACATACCATTAAGCTTTTTGTTGCCTGACTTCTGGAGACAGAACTCACCCGTGATGCAGCAGGCCCTTTTCCATCTGGCTTCTGACCATCCTGTCCCAAGCCTCAGCTCTTCATCCTCACTGCCCAGGCCACTAGGCATGTCATCCTTCTGGTTCCTCAAATAGACTATGTGCTCACCTGTTGCCAGACCTTTGCATATGCTGCTTTCTCTAGAACTCTCTCCCTGTGGTGTGTTTGATTTCTCCATAGGGAGCACTCCTATCCCTCGTGGTCTAGCCAGGGCCCAAGTCCCCTGCCCCAGCTTCGTGTTCTCAGAGCTTCATGTTCTCCTTTATGTGTTGATCTGTGGGATTGTGTCTCTCTCTCACATTAAACTGTGAGCAACTTAAGCTCTGTGTGGAGTCTGTTAAGTTTTTCTCTCGTTATACCTGCAGGTTCAGCCAAGGGCTGGGCATAGACCAGCTTATCAAAGGAATAAATGATTGTGAATGAATAAGTGAATGAAAGCCCTGTTAGAGCTACTGAAGGAATCCTCCTTCTGGGAGCCAGTGTCAATATAGAGGGCATCCCAGGTCACACAGCACTTTTGTCCCCCACCCACTCTCTCTGCTGTAGCAGGCAGTGGTCAGGCTGAGCTGAGAAGGGCAGTGCCAGTCTGGCCCACCCTAGCAGGCCCGCACTAATTGAGGGCCTGCGTTACTCACAGGTGACCAGCCCAGGGCACTTCAGGAAGTTGTGGAGACACTCAGGACCCCACCCAGCTTCCCAGCCCACTATGGCTCCTGGCAGGGTGGGGAGGGTAGGTGGGCAGCTGGCAGAGAGAGAATGGGGCAGGGGCAAGGCTGGCTCCTTTGTCACCTATGTGAGGGATAGAGGCAGCTGCTATAGTTGGGTGACCTCTCACTCCATGACCACAGTGGCACTAGGGTTCTGTTTGAGGGTGACTGTCAGGGCTAGAGCAGGGGTTCAGAGATAAGAAGCCAAGACCAGAAGCAAGAAACAGAAGCAGAAGAAGGCGTCTGTCAGAGTTCTTCTGGGCCCCCACCCACCTCAGAAGCTGGAAGGTAGCTCTTAGATAGGTGGGGGGCTGAAAAGGGGCCACCACAGGGCCCTGGGATGGGAGGTGTGATAACTAGGCAGTGACAGGGAGGGGCTGAAGCTGAGCCAAGCAGAGTGTCAGGGCTCAGGGACTTTGAGTCAGCAGGAGTTGTTTAATTTTTTTTGAGACAGGATTGCCTTCAGCAAGCTCACAGCAACCTCAAACTCTTGGGCTTAAGCAATTCTCTGGCCTCCCAAGTAGCTAAGACTACAGGTACCCATCATAATGCTCGGCTATTTTTTTGTTGTAGTTGTCATTGTTCAGCAGGCCTGGGCTAGGTTCGAACCCGCCAGCCCCAGGGTATGTGGCTGGCACCCTAGCCACCGAGCCTCAGCAGGAGTTCTTGAGTCTCTACCATATCATTGAGGCCCAAGGAGTATGGGGCAACTGAGTAGATGCCCCAAAATCTTGGTGCAAATCTGGAACCCACTTGCTCATAGGCAGCACTGGGTGGGGGTGCTGGGTGGGGTGGGGGCCTCCCTGGTTGGAGCAGCATCCTCCTCACCTTCCCCAGCAATGTTAGCAAAGTAAGACTCTGTTTTAAAACTGTAAAATAAAACTAAAAAACAGAGATGCGCAGGTGGAGGTCCATGGGGCAGGAGCCACTGGGCTGGGGGGTATGCCCTACCTGGGTTCTTGGCAATACATAGAGAGGAGGCTGAGGGTCCTGGGAACTAGGCTGGATGCACTGGGAGGGGCTGAGAGCTCCTGGTCACTGGGGCACTGTCTGGAACTCCTGCCTAGGGTCTTAGGGCTCTCAGTCCTCCTGCCACCCCTCATCTGCCATTGCCACCTGGCCCTCTCTCTCCAGGTCTCTGGTGCCCCTGCTGGACCCAGACTCCAGGCTCCTGGTACTGGCAGGAAAGGTGAGCCAGAAGCTGGGGCCCACCTATGTCTACCACCCATGGCCCAGCCCCTGGGGCTGGTGCCTGTATGTGCTGTGCCCTAGGGAGAGGAAGAACTAGACAGGGCAGGCAGGCTGCTTCCCCAGTCTCGTGATGGCCAGGTGAGCGGCCTCCTGCCAGGGCCTCTGTGTCTGTACAGGTGCAGCCGAGGTGACTATAATTCCCCCAGCACATTGGCTTCCCAGAAGCAGGCTGAGAACAGAGCAGCATTAGCACATATGCGACTCCATAAATGCTCATGCACAGCTGATGCTACCCTGGGCTCAGCTTGGCACATATAAGCAATCTACAGACTTCTATTGGGTTTTGTGGCTCAGGTCTTGGTGGAGGGCTGGAGGGAGCTGGGGCCAGACCTGGGCGACCCAGGCTGCCAGGGGTTAGGCAGCACATGGAGCTCAGGCTGGGCCTGTTGCAGGGTGAGAGTCAACTGTACTGCTACGAGGTGGCCCCACAGCAGCCGGCACTGAGCCCAGGTAGGCCTCGCCTGGTTGAGGTCCTCTCAGCCTTCCCCCGGCCCTCCCACAGCCCACCTTGCCTATTCCCCTCTGATATCCTCAACAGTGACACAGTGTGTTCTGGAGAGTGTGCTCCGTGGAGCAGCCCTTGTGCCCCGGCGGGCATTGGCCGTCATGGGCTGCGAGGTGCTCCGCATCCTACAGCTGAGCGACATAGCCATTGTGCCCATCAGCTACCATGTGCCCCGCAAGGTGAGGGGGTCTGGGGTTGGAGGAAGGTGGCTGGGAAGTGGGGGGCCCGGGCCTTACTGGCCATCTGTCTGTCTGCCACCAGGCTATGGAGTTTCATGAGGACCTATTTCCAGACACCGCAGGCTGTGTGCCTGCCTCGGACTCCCACACTTGGTGGGCTGGGAGCAGCCAGCAGGTAGGCCAAGGCCTAGCAGTCCTGGCCCACACCAGGCCTGGCAGTCCCCAGTGGCTGTGCACTAGCTTAACTGGGCCTACTTGTGTCTCCAACCCTGCCCTGCCCCCCACCCTGGGGCTCCCTCCCAATTTGGCAGCCTGTGCCCACCGTGGCCTCAGTTGCCAGTCTCCCCACAGGTACAGAAGGTCAGCCTCAACCCAGCCCGCCGGCCCTGGCCCAGCTTTACATCCTGCCTGGTGCCCCCTGCAGAGCCCCCAGCTGATGAACCCCAGCCTTGGGAGCCACCTGTGGATGACATAGACCCAAGTGTGAGTATCAGGGCTAACCTTGTCTCCTATGGATGCTGCAGTGTTCGTCTATCCAACAGCCTCGGTAGCAGAGACAGAAACACATGAAATGTTAGAAAGGAACTTAACAGTATTTTCTGAATTGAGCAAACACCTAAAAAGCAAGACTTTTCACATTAAAAATCTAGATTTTTGACGCTCTTGAAATGCTAGCACATCTTCGTGAAAGGTGGGGAGCTGGCCTTGCCACCTGCTGTCCTAGGCCCTGAAGTTCAGCTGGCCTTCTTGTCTTTCCCCTAAAGCTGGGGTTTGTGCCCACCTAAAGTTCCACAGCCCTAGGATGGGCCCAGAGTGATGGCCATGGAGTCACCTAGCACCTCCTTGTCCCCTCACACCTTGGCCAGCATGCCCAGGGGCTTGCCTACTCACCTGCGCTTTCCCCTAGGAGGGCTTCTCCTCACCTCCCAGCTCGCTGACCTCACCCTCCACACCCTCCAGCCTGGGGCCCTCTCACTCCAGCACCAGCGGCATTGGGACCAGCTCCAGCCAGAGGTCATTGCAGAGCCTGCTAGGTAAGTGGGTCAAATGTAGAGCTCACCCCCTATTATAGGAGCTGCCCCATCCTCAACACCCTCCTCTGTGCTCTAGCCCTCTCTTGCTCCACCCTGAGGGGAGGCCTCACCCAGGGCATCACCACTCATCTAGACTCGTGGCTCCCCTCGTGGGCTGAAGCAGGGCTGCCAAGCCTCTCCTGCAGATGGGAGGGTTCTGGGACCACTGGTTTCCTGATGTCAACCATGGAGCTCCCAGGTTCCTCTGAGATCCCTCTGGAGAGCAAAGGTCTTGTGTCCAGGCATTATTTCCAGGCCCATGCTATGTACCCACTTGTGGTGAGGGGCACTGGCAGCCAGGCCTGCAGCACAGGGTCGGGTGGGACAATGTTCTTTTTATTTATCTATTCATTTATTTGGCCAGGGCTGGCATATGGGGCTGGTGCCCTACCCTTTTGAGCCACAGGCACCGCCCAGGACAATGTTCTTACATGAGGCTCCCTGTCCCTGCCACCTCCAGGTCCTAGTTCCAAGTTCCGCCATGCTCAGGGCACTGTCCTGCACCGAGACAGCCACATCACCAACCTCAAAGGGCTCAACCTCACCACGCCTGGCGAGAGCAACGGCTTCTGTGCTAATCGGCTGCGTGTGGCTGTTCCCCTGCTCAGCAGCGGTGGCCAGGTGGCAGTGCTTGAGGTGAGGGCCCCCACCCTGCCAGGGTTGCTGCTTCCTGCAGGCATCAAGGGTGCTGAGGGCATTAGCCACCTGCATCCAGCTCACTGAACACAAACTGTGTGCCAAGCACCTACCCAGCCTGTCCTATAATCCTCCAAGCCGCCCCACTAGAGTGCCATTCTTCTCCCCATTTTACAGATGAAGAGGCACAAAGAGGTTTAGTAACCTGCCTGGGTCACATGTGTAAGTGGTAGAGGTGGGATTCAAACCCAGGCCACCTAAACCCCAAGCCTAAGCTGTTCCCACCAATTCACGCTGCTACCCTTTCACTTTCTGGGGCCTCATGGTTGACACTTGGGCTTAGAACACAAGATGGCTAAGGCAGAGAGCTTGGGCCATGCAGCATTGGGGGCATCTGCTGCAGAGGGCAGGAGCCAGGCGCACTGCTTGTCCCACATCCCCTGGGGACTGGCTCTCCTGCCTGGCACTAATGGACTGCCCGGTGGGGTCACCTCTTACAGCTGCAGAAGCCTGGCCGCCTGCCCGACACAGCGCTGCCCACACTGCAGAACGGGGCAGCTGTGACTGATCTGGCCTGGGACCCTTTTGACCCTTACCGCCTTGCTGTGGGTAAGGAGGCTGGGTGCCTGGTTGAGGAAGGGTCTTGGGGCCTGAATGGGCCCTGCAGTGATAAGCTGCCGCTCTCTGCAGCCAGCGAGGATGCCAGGATCCGACTGTGGCGGGTGCCCTTGAAGGGCCTGGAAGAAGTGCTTACCACACCTGAGACTGTGCTCACAGGTCAGGTGGGCCCAGGATGGGGACAGAGGCATGGGCACTGGCTTCTGAGGGCTTACTGTCACCCCATGCCTCTCTGCCAGGCCACACAGAGAAGATTTACTCCCTATGCTTCCATCCGCTGGCAGCCGATGTGCTGGCCTCCTCTTCCTATGACCTCACCGTTCGCATCTGGGATCTTCAGGCTGGAGCTGAGCAGCTTAGGCTGCAGGGCCACCAAGACCAGGTAGAACATCTGCAGAGGTAGGGCCCCAGCCATGAGGTGAGAGACTGTGTCTCATGTTCCCTCCTGTCCTCAGATCTTTGGCCTGGCCTGGAGTCCTGATGGGCAGCAGCTGGCCACTGTCTGCAGGGATGGGCGGGTACGGGTCTATGAGCCCCGGCGTGCCCCTGAGCCCCTGCAGGTGAGTAAATGTGGGCTGGGGGTGGCCTTCAGACCTGTTGGGAGTCCCTGGCTGAGCTTCATGTGATATATCTCTCAACAGGAAGGCCTAGGGCCCGAGGGAGGCCGTGGAGCCCGTGTTGTTTGGGTGTGTGATGGTCGCTGTTTGCTGGTATCTGGCTTTGACAGGTGAGGACTCAGGGGCTGCCATTTTCAGGCTTGCAGAACTTGTCAATGCCCCTTGTTGGATGGTTGAGTGGGTAGAGGAATGGATGAATGAGAAGATAAGTGGATAGATGGATATAGGCATGTGAATGGATGGATGGGTGGGTGGGTGAGTGGATGAGTGGGTTGGGAGAGAAAGGGATGAGAGCCAGGCTTTGCTATAAGGAGCCCAAGCCTTAAGTGGCCTAAGTGAAGCCCAGGAAACAGAACTAGGCTGGCTGGAAGGGCCTGAGAGATGGGCAGATGCTTTGATGGCAGATTGGGAAGGGCCCTGCCCTTATCCCTCCAGCTCTAAGGACCCACTCTGCCCCTGACCCTCCTTTGCAGCCAAAGTGAGCGCCAGCTGCTTCTCTATGCGGCTGAGGCCCTGGCAGGCGGCCCCTTAGCAGTGTTAGGACTTGATGTGGCCCCCTCAACTCTGCTGCCCAACTACGACCCAGACACAGGCCTGGTACTCCTTACTGGCAAGGTGGGCTGGAGGATGGGCGGCAGGTGAGAGGAGGTGGGGATATTAAAGTTGTGGAGGACTGACACTGCTCCCCTCAACCCCCTCAGGGTGACACTCGCGTGTTCTTATATGAGCTGCTCCCTGAGGCCCCTTTCTTCCTGGAGTGCAACAGCTTCATGTCTTCTGACCCTCACAAGGTGAGGCCACTGTGTGCTTCTCCGCCCCCTTGTGGTCGTATGGGGCAGTTCAGGGGCTGGTGGAGCATCTGTGCCCAGCAGCTGGCAGGGGGTGACATCTAGGAATTTTGAGAGTTGTTGTACTAACCATTAATAACTAAACTATGTAAAGTTAAACTATATGAACTATATAAACTATATGTATATATGAATCTACAAGTAAATATACTAAAAATTAAGGTAATGGGCTTGGCACCTATAGCTCAACCGGCTAAGGCGCCAGCCACGTACACCTAAGGTGGCGGGTTCGAATCCCCAGCCCGG